CCCCCCCCCAGGCCGAAGTAACTGACCAATCCCTAAATAGTAATCCCAAACCACACGCCCGTCACTCAAGGGGCGCCGACAAGCCTAGATTGGGCAAAGACCAAAGTGTTTTGCAAAGTTGCAAGTCATTTTGCTAACTGACTGTCCGAATAATTCTCAGAACGGCTGTAAGATCTTAAATATATAAATAAGTACCGGTATTATTGTCTAAGGGGTAGGGCATTTTCCGAAAGTCCTAACACATAATTTCCCAATCCCCCACTAAACCCTGCGGTACATGATGTAGGGAGATACCGGATGACTAAAGAGCAAAGACCCACTCTCGTCTGTAAACCTCATTCATAATACTTACGAGGCGCTGCGATATCAGAATCTATATCAGAACCATTTTCCGAGCCCGTAGTCGGGGTGTTTCCATTGATGAATTTCGGCTTTGAATCCATACTTCTGTTTTATTGCTGGTGGTTCATTTGCCCAGAACACAGTTGATCAGATTATCATACATGATTGCACAAATCACCTGTGTTGACATTGTTGTAGGAAGGGGTGCAACGAACATCGTGAAAAACACGTGTCAATCAAAATATCGGGTCAATCTCACCATCCAAGGTCAGTGTAGTCCAAACAAAGTCATGTGAGTATTTTTCACATGCAAGTAGTTTACACGATCAAACTGATATTACACAGTCCTGAAATTACACACTACACACAGCTTGAAATATGTAAGCGTTGCGTAAAAAAATCCGTCCTCTGTGGATTACTACATGTCAGTAAAAGGCATGGTAGATCGATTCCAGGGCTAGATTGGTTGGGATACGGATGGCCTGTACATGGCGTGATAACGACATGTTTAGAGCCCTCTAGGTTACTGAAATTATGCATTACATTTATTTTTTCGTACCACAGTGCGTTTTCGAAATGCCAACATTAAGTGAATGTGAGAATGCGCTATGCTGATATTTTAAACTATTTTAAAATAAGAAAACATCACCACACATTGCCATACAAATCTAATTATAGACACAAATGTCATTTCTAGCGACCATGTAAAATAAAATTATGAGCTGGGGGAACTAAACAACACATCGTGCTCTTCTTAGCGCAAACACACATTCATTCATTCGCAGTTTATTGTACAAATAACTCACACAAACTCGATGATTTAATTAATTCTTAATTATTTTATTTTTGGTATTTGAAAATAATTTTTTTAGGTGAAATACTTCCCACAATGAAGATATTCAGTGAATCGTGTACAATCGAACCGACTGATTATAAAATACTAATACTATCACAATGAAGAAAGCTGTAATGATGGCAGCAGACAACGACGTTGGAAAAACTCTAAAATCGGTCCTTGAAAGAATCCAAACAGCATGTGACAGTAGGTCACAGGTAAGTTGTACATGTGAATATTACATTTTTGATAAATATTTTCTACTTTATGTGCTTTTTCAATGTAATTCAAGTGACGGTCAGTCAGTTTGACTTATAGCAGTGACCATTCATTCTCTGTTTCTTGACGCTCACGCATCAGTAGCGTGATGTTATTTATATATATCGCGATCGACTCAAACACAGTAGTGTTACTAAGATAGGGATACAAATATTTCCTTCTTGATTTTCAATAAACGTTTCTTCAAACTCGTGTATCATCGTAGCTATCAGATAATATAAAATTATTCTTCAAATTCAAAACACTGCCGAACTGACTTTTTTGATTACTTGGAAGCAGATATTTGCAATTATTCTAAATGTGGAGATATTATAATACTTGGAGACTTTAATAGTAGGACAGGCAATATGACTGACTTTGTAAATACCGATGGCGATTCATTCATG